GCGGCGGCTCCGAGCGGGCGCCCGGGCGGCATCGCGCCCTGCCCCGAGCCGCTCGGCCCCTCGCCCTCCGCCATCTCGCCGCCGGCCGCGGGGTCGGGTTGCACGGGAGCCCGCCGCGCCCGTTCTGCTCCTGGGCGGCCCCCTGGCAGGGGGGCTTTATCTGCACAAAGGCCCCGCAGCCCCCACCTCGCAGCTGCCGCCCCGGCGGCCCAAGGCCCCGCGGAGCAGTGCAGGAGCTGGGAGTCCTGCTGGGAGCTGCCGGCCCCGGTGCCAGGCACCCGGCAGAGCGGTGCTGTCGGAACACGGGTGGGAACGGCGGGGAGGTGCCCCGGGCGCGCAGCCCTGGAACCGCCACGTTCCCCGCGTGCCACTGTGGGAAGCACCTGCTGCTGCAGCCCTCGGCCTCGCGGCACGGCTGCTTCGGCTGAGCCGGAGGGCTGGAGCCTGGGCTGCCGGCGCCCCTGCCCTGCATCTCCCTGCCTGGCGGCTCCTGCTGCTTCCAGGGGGACCTCACAGCTGCCACGTGCTCAGGCTCGCAGGGCCCCGCGGGCTGCAGAGCCCCAGCGTGGCCTAGTGCTGCCCTGCGCACCCGCCGCATGCGCTGGCTTTGGGCAGCTGCCCTGCATGGAGTGGCTTGCACGGGGCCCCGCCACACAGGCGGTCGCTGTCTCTTCCGGCCGTGCGTCCCGCTGCAGCCGCCGGCCTGGCGCTCCCTGCTCTGCGCGGCACATCCCCCGCGGGCAGGGATTTTGAGCCGCGGCTGCCGCGCAGAGCAAACCTCTCCCTGGGGCGCTGGCAGCCGCTTCAAAGCAGGGTGTGTCTGGAGCGCCCTGCCAGCCCCAGCGCCGCCTCCCCGCGGCGCCTGCTCCCAGCGAGCTCCCGCCGAGCACCCAGCTCCGGAGGGTGCCCGGGGCTGGTGGGGGTGCTGACAGCGCTGTTGGGGCTCCCAACCGAGAGCTGGGCGCAGCAGCACAGAGCAGGTTGGCCCTTCCTGTGGGCTCTGCTCCACACCTGGTGCTGCGCTGGGTGGAGCAGGAGGTGTGGGACTTTGGCACCCTGGTTTCCGGGTGCTGCTCCCTCCGTTGCTCAGGAGCATCGGCATTTCCCTGCAAAACACTGTGAGGGGCCCCTGCCTGGGCAGGTCTGGACTCTGCGGCCCTGCTTGGAGGGAACACGGCGCGATTGCAAGAGGCTGCATGGCCTCAGCTGCCTCCGTGCCCAAGCCTAGAGTGTGTGCTAGGCTGCAGGTTGGGTGCAGAGGGGTGCAGGTCCCGGTGGCACAGACCATACTGCCCTCTCCCTCACGCATGATGGGGAGAGACGTGACCCTGTGCGAGAGGCCGGGCTGCGGCCGGGCCCAGCTGCTCCCGGAGCTGCCGCCTCCCACCCAGCTGCTGGGTAGAGCAACAAAGAGCGCAGTGAGATTGCCGGGCCTTGCCTTGCAGCTGGGCTGCTCCGCGGCAGCTCCGCAATGAGGCTCAGCCCGTGCGGGGATGGAGCACAGGGAGCCCCAACGTGGGCCAGGCCTCCTGCAGTTGTGCTGGGCAGCAGAGCCCGCCCAGCCGTGCCCGCCCCAAGCTGTGCCCTGTCCCCAGGCTGTGCACCCTGGCGCTGCCCGGCACCCTGCCAGAGCAGATGCCCACTCCAGGCAGGGAGAAGGCACCCAGCTGCTGCAGACAGGAGCTGTCTTCTCCAGCGGCACTGGAGCACGGCTGGCTCCGTGCTGCCGAGGAGCCGCACGCACCAACCCCCGCCGTGCCCACCGAGATGCACTGATCTGCATGCGAGCTCTGCGAGCATCGTGCCCCGCTGTGCCACACACAGCCTTCCCTGCACTCTGCAGCCAGACCCACTGGCTCCAACGTCCCCGCTCTCTCCCACAGGGTGCATGATCTGCCTGGGCCAGGCCACCTTCCTGCGCTTCAACCACCCTGCAGAAGCCAAGTGGATGAAGAGCATGATCCCCGCAGGCAGCCAGGGCCCCGCAGCCCTCTACCCGCTCCCAGCAAGTAGGTGACGCTGTGTGCGGTGCGCTTGGGGGTCTGCAGCCTGTGGCTGCCATGTGGGGCAGGGGTAGCTGCGAAGCAACAAGCAGCAGCAGCGCCCAGGCGGCTACAGCCATGCTGCTCGTCCCGCCGCAGCGTGCCTCGGGATCGCAATGTTTCCCCATGGAGGTCGCAGCGGGCGGCCGTGGGAGCGCTGCTTGCGCGCAGCAACGCCAGCCCCCAAGGCCGTGTCCCTGGCTGCAGGGCACAAGGGGCGAACTGCTTATCTTGCGGTGCCGAGCGAGCGTGGGTGCATAGCAGAGGCACTTCCCGGACAAGGAGCATGGCAAGCGGAAGCGTCCCGGGATGTCACAGTGCGGTGGATGTGGGCAGGGGCTGCGCGTGGGGACAGGTGATTGAATGGCAACAGACTGAGCGCACGAGCAGATGAGGGCAGAGGTTGATGCTGAGGCGCAAGCTCGGGTGCGCTCGGGACCGTGTCTGCCGGCCTCTCTGCAGAGCAGAGCCCGACCGCGTTGTCATCCCGGGGACTGCGCTGCCACCCCCCGCGTCCGCCTGGCACCGGCCCCAGCGCCGGCGACTCCGTGCAGCGCCGACGGGCGCGGGCTGCGTGTGGGGCTGGCACAGCCGTGTGCCCCACAGCACGATTGGGTGTCTGTTGTCCGGGTGACAGGACACCTGGCGCAACTGGTGCAGCAGAGCCGGTGGGTGGGAGCACGAGCGGGATCCATCCCCGTGCCCCGCTGACGACCCCTGCCCACAGAGCCCGAGGCCCTGGTGAACGGCACCCGCCCACCCGAGCCGCAGCGCACGCGGCCCAGCCACAGCTCCCTCGTCAGCTCCATCGAGCGCGACCTGCAGGACATCATGGACTCGCTGGCCTTGGAGGAGCCGTCGCCGCTGCCGGCTTCTGGCCGTTCTGTGCCCAACGGAGCTGGACGCTGCCCCCTCTCGCCACCGCCGAGCCCTGGAGCTTTCCAGGCCGGCACTAGCCATGACACTGCCTCGCTGCCCGGCCGTACCAGCCCCAGTCCCGCACGGAGCCCCGCCACGCCACCCGCCGTGCCCGCACGCTCCTCCAGCTACAGCCACACCGTGGCCCCACCGCCCGGGGCGAGCAGCCCCCGCGCTGCCCCGCGGCAGCCCCCCGAGAGCCCCCGGATGGGCCGCCGTGGCCCCGACAGCCTGCGCGACCTGCCGCCGCCCAGCCCATGCCCCACGCGCCGCCCTGGGGCATCGCTCGGCCCCGCTGCGCCGCCGCCGCCATCACCGTCCCCACCGCCTCGGCTCTCCCGTGATGTCCCCGAGAGCCCCCGCGCCCGGCGCCGCGGCCGGGAAGAGCCGGCGGGCAGGAGCGCCCGTAGCGGCAGCCCTGCAGCTGAGATGCCCCCCGCGCGGCGCCCGGGTGCCCTGAGCCCCGCGTACAGCCTGGGCTCGCTAGCCGCCGTGCCCTCACCGCGGCAGAGCCCCCGCGCGGCCCGCAAGCTCTCTGGGGATCTGCGGCAGCTGCCTGGCCCGCGCGAGCGCAAGAACAGCATCAGTGAGATCAGCGACAACGAGGACGAGTTGCTGGAATACCACCGGCGCCAGCGGCAGGAGCGCATGCGCGAGCAGGAGATGGAGCGCCTGGTGAGCTGCTGCGCGTGCTGGGACAGGGTGCAGGGTCAGGGAGGCTCCTGGGGACGCAGGGACCTTATGGCTTAGTCCAGGTTTGTGTAGCCCTGGACATGCAGGCGCCTCCTTGCAGATGGCCCTGCGCTGCTGCTGCCCATCCATGGGGGGTTGCTGCAGCTGGCAGCAACGGCTTGCCAGTAACGTGCGCACAGTGCAGCTCCCGGCTTATCCACAGGGATTACCGTGCACAGCGGCAGCTGACGCTCCGGTGTGAGCACAGCTGGCATCAGGGCCAGCCCCCCACTGCTGTGCAGCCCTGCTGTGCCGCGCTGGACACTTCCCTCGCAGCAGGAGCAGGCTGCAGTGTCCCCTCTGTAGCTCTGCAAAAGCGCGTGGCGGAGCAGGGGCCCTGGTGGCCCCGGCACCTCGTGCCTGACAAGGGCTGCACAGATGCTGCTCCCGGCGGGGAGCTCTGCGCCTGTCGCGCCGCTCTATTTCAGGCTGGGACAGGGCTCTGCAGAGCGAGCAGCTGCCGGGGTGGGGCTGTGCCGCCCTTGTTTTCCCAGGGAGGGCACGGGCAGCCCTGCGTGGTGGCCCAGCATGCGGCTCCTGTCCCGCTGCTCGCTGCAGGCTCGCGGGTGCAGCACGGGCAGGAGGGTGCGGGTGGCATCGCGCAGCCCTGCGGCGCGGCGGGAGCTGCCCCTGCAGCAGGCCGTGCGGGACAGGAGGCTGCATCCCTGCAGCAGAGCCACCGTGCGCAGCCCGCAGCCGCCTTGGCTCAGCCCTGACTCACGCTGTGCCCAGACAGCCTGAATCACCCGCCAGAAATAGCTGCGCGCGGCGAGCGTGGAGACTCTGCTGTCTCTAATTAGTCTGTCTCCGCTGTGGCCATGCCGGGAACTCTGCCCAGTGCTGGGCTGGGGGCTAGGGGTGGTGTCACCAGTGCCCGAGCACAGCCCCACTGCCCTCCCTGCGTGTGCAATGGGCATGGGCAGTGCAGCAGCGTGCGGTGTAGCATGCAGTGTCTGGAGCTGTTGTGGCATGTGGTGGTGCCGCTGTTGCGAGCGCCCTTCCCGCAGCACTGAGCACCCAGGGAGCGGGCAGGAGGGCAGCGCTGAGCGTGTGTCCCCACAGGAGCGGCAGCGCCTGGAGACCATCCTCAACCTTTGTGCCGAGTACACTAAGACGGAGGGTGCTGAGGCGGGGGCTGCACTGCTCGCTGCTGAGATGGAGGCGCCCGCGGGGCGGCGGGTGCCCAGGCCCATGGGCGCTGCAGGGCCAGGTCACACAGCTGAGGAGTCCAGAGCGCTGCGGCACGCGGAGAGCCTGGAGCGCTCGGATGAGGAGAACCTGAAGGAGGAGTGCAGCAGCACGGAGAGCACCCACCAAGAGGTGAGGGGCCGGGCGGCGGGGCGGGCGCGGGTGGCCGTGGTGCTGCGCACGTGGCGCTGACCTGTGCCGCGCACAGCACGAGGAGCTGGCGGGTCCCCGCGCCGCAGAGGTGCAGCGCCTGGAGGAGGAGCGAGCTGCTGTGCTTGGCCACCTGGATGAGCTCAAGGGCCGCATCAAGGAGATAGAGCAGCAGCTGCAGGAGACGTCGCGAGAGGTGAGAGTGCAGCGCGGCTGGCACGTGGGCACCATGCTGGACCTGCGGTGCTGAGGCCTCCCATGCCCCCTATCTGGGGGAGAGCAGCAGGGCTGGCCCGGGCACTGAGGGGTCCGTGTGTGCACAGGCAGAGCTGGAGCAGGCGCTGCTGCAGGGCGAGCGGGAGTCGGAGGTGGCGCGGCTGCAGCAGGAGCAGGAGGCGCTGCGGCAGCTGCAGGAGAAGCTCTCACACTTGGACGCCAGCATCCGCAGGGAGCGCGACAAGGTAGCCCCATGCAGGGACCCGTTCAGCAGCAGGACTGGGGCTGTGGGAAGCCCATCCAGCCCTGACCCTCCGGAGCTCGTCCTGGCACAGCGTGGCCTGAACTTGTGTCCAGTCTGCAGCAGGACGGCGACTGCCCAGGCTGTAGATGCCCCTGGGGACTGTTGGGTCTCTGCAGGGAGGAAGGGTGGGCTCTGGCTGATGTCGCGGCGGTGTCTGTCACTGTGACTGCCTGGCACTGACACGCAGCTTCCAGGGCTCTGCAGGGGAAGCAGCGCCTGGTGCTGGGGTATGTTTTGGCGGCCGTCTCCTGCACATGTTGGGTATTGCCAGGAGGCAGCACCCCTGGCCTTTCCCTCCTGACACTTCCTGCCCTTGCGGGTGAGCGAGGCTTGCAGGGAGTTTGCCCATCGGAGCAGCCTTGTGGACTCGCACATGGTGGCGGTGACTGCTGGGGCATTCAGCTTACTGGAGAGGCTGTGTTGTCTTCTGCCAAGCGTTTCACAGTTGTGGTCAGGCCACCACTGCAGGACCCTAAGCTTTGCACCTGGGCTTCGGGAGGCAGCTCTCGGGGTGACTGACGCCCTCCTGCTCTCTCCTTTCCAGTCCGGACTCGTGTTTGCTGCAGAGGCCCCTGCTTGTGCCCAGCACCGTCGTGTGCAGGCTGCCAGCTTGCCAGCTTTGCCCCCGCATGCCCAGCTAGGATGCAGTCAGTGCGCGGCACGCCGGTCCCGGCGCCCTCCTCGCGGGGTCCTGGCGTGTGTCGGGCGGCTCCGCTGCTGCTGCCCAGCCCGGAGCAGCGAGGGCGCTTGGCCACACGGTGGAAGGCACAGGCCGGTGGAGGCCGTGCGTGATGAGGCTGCCTGCCCAGGAGCCACCGCACGGTGAGCAGGAGCTCATCCTCGCCGTGCGCCCGAGCTCGCGGCAGTGCTACCCTCCCCGCGGCACCAGTGGGCACAAGTGCCTGTCGCCCGCGCTGCTCAGCTGATAGGGCTGCGCTGTGGCGGCAGTCACAGGGCCGGGCGCTGCAGCCTGGGCTGCCCCTGCTTTTCCAGCCTTTTACACAAGTGTCCGGTGCTCCCCCAAAGGAGCAGAGCTCAGAGGGCTGCAGGGAGAAATTAAGCTTCCCACGGCTGCTGGGCAAAGCGCTTCCTTTCCTAACCCACCTGCACTAACTCGCTCTAACTGTGCCCCTCTGCATCCCCCCTGTTCTGGTGTCTCTGCACGTCCCATGCTCTGGGGCACCTGCGGTGCAGCGGCTTCACCACCCACGCTTGCTGCGCGCCGTCTCCCTTCCTGCAGCAGGTGTTTGCACAGCTGAACGTGCAGCGTTCTCCGGTCCTTGGACAGTGCTCCGCTGCGGCGGGCGCGCGGGGCAGCAGGGAGCAGCTGTGGACGGATGTCCGCGGGACGTGAGGGCTGAGCCAGGCGCGTGCGGCTCTGCGCAGGGACAGGGCTGCGTGCGGGCAGCCATCGCAGCGCTCCCGTCTGAAACACGGAGCGCGCTCCTCACTGCTGACAGAAATGGCTGAGGTGTGGAGCTCAGGGCAGGGTGTTCCTGCTGGTGGGACATGCAGGGCTTGGCAGGGTCTCTCTACAGCATCCCCTCGGGGCGGAAGGTCTCGCGTGAGCAGGATGCAGAGGGTTCTGTTTTCATAGGGATCAGTTGCAGGAGTTGGGACTGCCAGTTGCCTCTTATGGTGCCCCGTCTGCTCTGCCACTAACCTGCTAGTGGGAAGCCTGGGGATCTTTGGGGCCCCCGAGCTGATTAACCAAGTGGCGTTGGGTCTCAGTCTCCGGGTTGCACTGCGAGCATCGGACCTGGGGGCAGCCCTTCCTGCACACAAGGGTGGGCAGTGAGCACTGAGCCCGCATATCGGCCCTGCTCGGTCCATCCATCGGGGCCTTGGCGCTGAGCGCTCCTCAAAGAGAACATGTAGCTGCTATCCTTGCCATCCCCGTCTGCTAGTGCCGTGGCCTGTGGCAGTCCTCGGGTCTCGGGAGCCCTGCAGGGGCTGCACAGGTTCCCAGCACATTTGCAGACCCACAGCAACTTCCCAGGTGCTCAGGAGCCCACAGTGGGGCTGGCCGCGGTGCAACAGGAGACTGAGGTGCCCCCCAAGGACTAACCGTGTCCTAACTGCTGCGGGCAGCCTGGTCGGGCAGCGGGCTCTGCTCCCTGCTCCCAGGGACCTGCTGTCTCCCTTCTCATGCCAGAGACACTCTCTAACATTGCCGCTTCTGCATGGCGCGCATTTGAGAAGTGTGTTTTCTCTTTTTCTTTTTTCTTTCTTTTTTTTTTTTTTTTTTTTTTTTTTGTTTTGTTTCTGTTTTGTTTTCCCCCAATTCAGGAAAGGGCAAAGCTTGATGCAGGAAGGAAGGAGCTAGTGAAACTGCGGGCGCTTTACGCAGAGTTGAAGAGCCAGCTTGATAAGTGCCCTGAGTCAATGCGGGAGCAGTTGCAGGAGCAGATGCGAAGGGTCAGTGTCTCTCCCCCCCGGAGCGGGGCACCTCCCTCGCCCCAGCCTAGGCCACGCTGCCCGGGCCGCGCCGAACGCTTCGCACCCGGCGCGGAGGCGGCTGCCGCCTGGCACCACCCTCTCGGTAAGCTCGAGGGCGGCTCGGCAGCGCGAGCGGGGCGACGGCGGCCCCGGCAGCGACAGCCCCGGGTGCCAGGGAGCCTGCACGGGCTGCCCCGCGCCGCAGCCAGGAGAGCCGGCAGGGCGGCCGCGGCTCCGGGGCACGCGGGAGCTCTGCGTCTGCACGGGCCGTTCTCGGCCGCTCCGGGGAATGCTCCCTTTCGCGCGGGCAGGTTGTACTTGCGTCGCTTGCAGCGCCTTTCCGCGTTACATGGCGTCCTGCTGCAGCGCTGGCCGGCGTCAGCTGCGGCCCGGACACGTGCAGCCCCGGCAGCGCCGCTAAGCCTAGCAGCTGCGTGCACTTAGCTTGCAATCTGCCGGGGCTGCCTGCAGCCACCCTGCGTTGGACTGCACTGGGTTTCAGGGGCTGCCGCCTGCAGCCAGTGCTGCCCTGACATGTGTGGCACGGTGCTGCACTCATGCAAGGGCAGCTTGACGCCCTCTGAGCGCTGCCCTGGGCACAGGATGGAAGGGCCTATGGGAAACCTGGGCCGTGTGTTGGAAAAACAGCGGAGGGAACTGCCTTGCTGATGGCTCTGGCTGCTGGGCTGCCGTTTACAGACCCTAAATGCAGCCTGGGTGATGCATCAGTGCGAGAGGACGGAGTGGACTGATGGTGGCTGCAGGTGGCACGGGACTGTGTCACACTCTGTGCATTGCAGTGTTCCCTGCACGTGCAGCTGCCTTGCGGGCTGAGGCTGCCTGGGGTTGTCCGCGTCACTGCTGTGCGTGAGCAGTGTGCGGGGCTGCTCCCAGTATGCTCAGGTGCCCTTGGCTCCTGGCCATGGCGAGTGGGTCCCCACGCAGTGGATCCCTGTGGTGGCTGTGTGGACCTGCCTTCCCTTGCAGCCACTGCAGCCCAGCCGCGTGCTGCGGTGCCAGTGCTGCACTGAGCAGCGCCCGCGCTTGTGTGCCCCAAGGAGGCGGAGGTGCTGGAGACGGAGGCGAAGCTCTTTGAGGATCTGGAGTTCCAGCAGCTGGAGAGGGAGAGCCGGCTGGAGGAGGAGCGCGAGACGCGGGGCAAGCAGCTGCTGCAGAGCAAGGCCGAGTGCCAGCGCAGCATCGCGCGCAGGAAGGTGGGCGCGTGGCGGGCGGGCGGGCGGCTCAGACCACGCTGCCACCGGCGCTGAGCTCCGCATCGCCCCGCAGGAGCGGCTGGCTGCACTCGATGCGCAGGCGGCCCAGGTGCGGCTGCAGAGCGCGCAGGAGGCCGAGCGCCTGGCCCGCGACAGGAGCGGCGTCCTGCAGCTGCTGCAGAAGGTACTGGCACCACTGCCACTGTCACCGCGGGGCCAACGCGGGGCCCATGCCACCCTCTGACTCCCGTTGCTCTCTCTGTCCCGACTGCCACTGCATGTGCGCAGGAAAAGGAGAAGCTGCTGTCCTTGGAGAGGAGGTACCAACTGGTCACCGGCGGCAGAAGCTTCCCCAAACTGTCCTCCACTCTCAAAGAGGTAACCGGGGCTGCGGGGTTGCCCTAGAGCTGCTCCTGTAGCGTGCAAGGTGCTGGCTCTGAGCTGGCATGGCCCGAGCCTGTGTGCTGTGGCCCCGGGCTGCACGCTGCCATGTGCTTGTGTCCCTGCTCCTGCGCCTCTGAGCTGCCCTGGGATGCACTGCCGGGAGGTGGCATCGGGGGCCACGCCAGGCCGTGCCCGCCTCACCAACGCAATCTCTGCTCTCCAACAGGAGACACTCCATATCTCGGAGGCTTGTGAGCTGCGGGAGGGAGCTCAGCCCCCGAGTCCACTGCCAGGAGCAGCCTCGCTAGCTCCTGCCTGTGCCCGCTCCCGCCCCGCGGCACTCGAGGTACCAGCACTAACCACATCTGCTTGCTCGCTTGTGCCCCTTGGGCGCGCGTGCCGCTGCATGAACTGCCTCAAGGCCAGCAAAGAGCCGGAGGCACCGGAGCCTTAACCAGACTAACATGCAATGGGGCAGGACCAGAGGCGCGCAGGGAAGCATGGGCGAGCGGCACGGCGCTTTCTCCTTTAGCTGCCCCGTGCCTGCGCAGCGGCCCTCGAGGTCGCGCTGCCTCTCCTCTCTCGTGCTCTGTGTGTGAGTTTGAGCCTGCTGCTCTGTGGAGCAGGGCGGTATCTGGCTCGTGCTGCAGCTCTAAGGCCAGCACAGCCCTGCCAAGGGGCCTCTGTGGCCCCACGGAGCTCGTGGGGGACAGTGCGTGGCAGGCGAGGCGGGGGCTCCGCCGGGGCAGGTGCAGGTGCCCGCGTAGGGAGCCTGGCTGGTGCTCGCGGCGCGCGCTGCGAGACCGCGCTCGGCTCTAACTCTCCTCCTTCTCCTCGCGGGGCTTTCCAGGAGTACATGAGGATGTCTGACGTTTTCAGGTTCTGCGGCAGTGCGCACGGCCGCCGCCCGGACACTAAAGCTGCCGCTGCTGCCCCCACTGCTGCTCCGCCTGCTTTCCCGCTTGCTCTGCCTCCCGCGCTCAACGAGGTACCCGCTGCAGAGCATGCTGCTCGGGGTCCCGTGTGTGCCCTGCAGCTCGCAGCTCTCCTCTCCATGGGCCACAGTCCCACGGGGTGCTGAGCAGAGCGGCTGTGCTGACTGAGCAGCTCATGGAGAGCTTGGAGCCCTTGCTGCTGGGGACAGCACTTGGGGACAGCCCCATGTGAGGGAGGTGGGGACCAGGCGAGCAGCCTGGCTCTGCTGGGCCTGGGACTTGTCTCCCTGGGGCTGTGCTTGCAACAGCCTCGTGTGCCTCTCTTCCTCTCCTTGCTGCGAGCCCCCTCTCCGCGCTCACTCTGCTTCTCTCTGCACAGTATGTGACCATTGAGCAGCTCGCGGGCATCCTGGGCAGCGCTGCTGCCGCTGCCCCGCCGGGCCGGGCTGCTCCGGCCGCCGGCTGCACTCCTGCTCCCGCGCTGCCTCGCTGCTCTCCGGGCGGCCCCGCAGAGGTTTGTGTCCTGCCTCCCCTGCCCGGTTGCAGGGCAGGGATGCTGCAGCCTGGAGCTTGTATTCACTGTGCTCTTGCTGCGCCTCTCCTCTGTCTCACGCATTCTCTTTCTTCAGATGGAGAAGCAGCTTCCCGGGGGCCCCGCGTGGCTCCCGGCCCTTGATTTAGAGAAGTGGTACCAGGAGGCCATGGCTGCCTTTGAAGCCTCCCCCACTGTCTCTCCTCCTTCCTCTCCTCCTCCGCTGCCTGCTAAAGCTCACTCTTCTCAAAAGCCTCTGCAGGTAACGCGCTGCTTTGCACCCTGTGTGGGGCTGCGGGCTGCCGAGCGGCACCAGGGCCAGGATGCGGAGCCGGGTGTTACGCAGGGCTGGGGCCATGTGCTTCCCTCCGCACCGGTGCTGCACTGGGAGCTTCGCCCGTGCCCGCTGTCCCGTGGCAGGTGTAGCTGGCACAGCCAGGACGTGTCCCCCCGCGGCAGCGGGCACTCTGTGCTGGGCTGGGAGGGCTCGCGCCACCTGGCTAGGGGTCCTGCTCCCTTTCCACCTGAGCGCCACCTCTCTGTGCCAGGTGTATCGTGCCAAAACGGAGAGCGAGGCAGGCAGCACGGCCCCCCGCATGAAGAGCGGCACCTCCTCGTCCTCACAGCTCAACGTTGCGGTGCTGGGGCGCAGCCCCTCGCCCAAGGTATGTCGGAGGGAGGGACGCGGGCGCTGCAGCGTGGGCACAGGCTGCAGTCCTGCTCAGCATGCGCCATCCTGATGTAGGGTCTCCCGCACGCGGCCAGCGGCACGGGCAGCCTGCCCCGCAACCTGGCGGCCACGCTGCAGGACATCGAGACCAAGCGGCAGCTGGCCCTGCAGCAAAAGGGTGAGCGAGCGCAGCGCGGCCGGCTGTGTGTGCATCCCCTGCGCAGCACCCCATGCGGGCAAGAGTACGAGCACCGTGCAGGGCATGGGCTGCAGCACACGTGGCTGGGCCCTGCGGCACTGCCAGGGCAGCGTCCTGCACTCTGCACCCGGGGCCAGCGGCAGGGACCCCCTGCGGCTCTGCCCGCAGGGCACCCCGCTCCCCTGCTGAGCCGCCTCTCCGTTCCCCGGGCTGCAGGTCAGCAGGTGATTGAGGAGCAGAAGCGGCGCCTGGCGGAGCTGAAGCAGAAGGCGGCGGCCGAGGCGCAGTCGCAGTGGGAAGCGCTGCACGGGCAGCCTCCCTTCCCCTCCTACCCTCCGCTCATGCATCACTCCATCCTCCATCACCACCCCCTCGGCAGCAGGCCCCGGGCCGAGGAGCTGGACCACGCATACGACACGCTCAGCCTGGAGAGCTCGGACAGCATGGAGACTAGCATCTCCACCGGCAACAACTCGGCCTGCTCGCCCGATAACATGTCCAGGTAATCCCAGGCTCGCTCTCGGCACCCAGGGACAAGCCCGCTCAGCCCAGGAGCCACTTGCTGTGGGTGCCGCGGTGGCAGGGAGGCAGAACCATCCAAGGACACATGGGTTTGCAGAGGGCAGGTGGCACTGCTGATGTGTGTGTGGGGGGGAACCGACTGTCCCAGCTCTCTGTGAGCTGCCGTGGCACCTGATTGCACCATCCCATGCCCACTGTGGCCTGCGTTGTCCGCAGGCAGCCCCGGCTCCTCAGGGCTGCTCCTTGGCACAGCGGGAGGGAGGCTGTACTGCAGCAGAGCCCAGGCCGTGCCCGCAGGGTCAGGCTGCCTGTGCTGGCCCTGCGCGGCACCGGCACCTCTGCCTCCCTTGCAGCACGAGCGGGATGGAGGCGGGCAAGATCGAGGAGATGGAGAAGATGCTGAAGGAGGCGCACGCAGAGAAGTCGCGGCTCATGGAGTCCCGGGTGAGCAGAGCCGTGGCTGCAGGGGCCACCAGCTCGTATGGAGTGGGGCCCGGGGCTGTGGTGCCGGTGCCGCCGGGGCTGAGCGCCTGCTCCCCGCAGGAGCGAGAGATGGAGCTGCGGCGGCAGGCGCTGGAGGACGAGCGGCGGCGCCGCGAGCAGCTGGAGAGGCGGCTGCAGGATGAGACGGCGCGACGGCAGAAGCTGGTGGAGAAGGAGGTCAAGATGCGGGAGAAGCACTTCTCGCAGGTGCGGCAGCCAGGCGCCTCGTCCCATCACGTTTCCAGGAAGCCTGCGCCTCTGCGCGCCGGCATCGTGTCCCTGGCAGCCCCATCTCCAGGGCTATGATGCTTTTTCCCAGGCTCGGCCCCTGACGCGGTACCTCCCCATCCGCAAGGAGGATTTTGACCTGCGGACGCACATCGAGTCTTCGGGGCACAGCGTGGACACCTGCTACCACGTCATCCTGACGGAGAAGATGTGCAAGGGCTACCTGGTCAAGATGGGTGGCAAGATCAAGTCCTGGAAGAAGCGCTGGTTTGTCTTCGACCGCATGAAGCGCACCGTGTCGTACTACGTAGGTGGGTCCCTGCCGCCCTTTGCTGTGTCCCCGTGTGCCCTCGCCCATGGCACTGGCGCTGACCTCTTCCTTCTCTCGGGCAGACAAGCACGAGACCAAGCTCAAGGGCATCATCTATTTCCAAGCCATCGAGGAGGTTTACTACGACCATCTCCGCAGCGCTGCCAAGGTGAGGCACAGAGCAGAGCCAGGCAGGGCGGCTCTGCGGGGACAGGGAATGTGTTCCTGCGGCTGGTGTGGGAGGGAGGACAGCTGGGGGGCAGCCGGGGGGTAGCCGGGTCCCCGCGGGGTGTCGTGGTGCCCGGCAGAGCCGGCTGCCCGCGCCCAGGGCAGCAAGGAGGGACAGGGCTGTGCAGCGCAGGGCTGGGGTGCCCTTGCTGCTCTGCCCAGGGAAAGGAGGGTGCAAGGCGATGCAGGATGGGCCCTGCCGCAAATACTCAGCTGCCGTCCTGTCCCTTGCAGAGCCCCAACCCCGCGCTCACCTTCTGTGTCAAGACCCACGACCGCCTCTACTACATGGTGGCACCGTCGGCCGAAGCCATGCGCATCTGGATGGATGTCATCGTCACGGGCGCAGAGGGGTACACGCAGTTCATGAACTGAGGGGCAGGGGCCGCCAGGACCTGCCCAGTGGTGCTGCTGCCCCCCGGGCCCCTGCGTGGCCTCGCCACCCTCGTGAGCTGCTGCCCGGTGTGTGGTGGAGGACGATTCCCGCGCAGGGCTTGGGCACCCGCGCGCCCCTTCCCTGCCATGGCTGCGGCTGCACAGCCCTGAGCTTCTGGACTCTGTGTCCCCATGTGTTGGGCCTTACTGCACAGCAGAGCCCCAAGAGATGCGAGCGGCGCCGCCGGTGCCACGGAGCCCAGATGGGCACCCTTGCGGGAGACGCCGCCTTGCTTCGGGGGGCTTGGCCGGTGCTGCCCCGTGTTGGTGCCTACACCTTTGTACGCCTTTTGTAAGCCCCTGCACGACCCGCGGCGGCCACCCGCGCCGCGCCGCTCCGTGCCCGCCGCGCGCCAATAAAGTGTTTTGTATCGGCGTGTGCGTGGGCGCTGCGCTCCGTGCGCGCGGCGGGGCC